AAATATAAAAATGATTTAACTCCCATTTCTTTGGCAACATTTAGGCAATCTTCAGGCAACCTTCTTTCTAATTATGTGGCTCCCCCTGTAGCTTTCCTATGGGCAATGGATGAGAACAGTTAATGGTTACTACTTCTACAGTGTGCATGAAAACAATGCTACATGCCCTATTTAGTGAATGATGCTAATAATAATGAAGCTGATACTGGGTTGATTTGCTCAATGTTATAGCTACGAATTGTTGAATCCAGGTTAATTCTAAAGCTTAACTCTCCTGAACAAGGTCTTCCCTAACCCAAACTCCCTTCTTGCTTTGTTGTCCTAATGTAGATTCCCACCTAATTATTTTTACTTGTTTTGCTCATTGCTATATCTCTAGCACCTGGAAAGTGCCTGGTACCTAATAGGTGCTCAGTAAGTACCTGTCGACTATTTAATTCCATCTCTGTCAACTTAGATAACAAACTACATCTGCCTTTGAAGAAGGTTCCACTTTAGGGTTCTGACACCTCAGATTTCTAACCAAGCACAATAAAGGGCAAATGTTGAACCCACTGTGATTTCACCAAGCAGTGCTCACCAAGATAGACTGCTTCCCTTTGGCACCAACCACTGACTGAGTTCTTCTGGTAGAAATTTCTAAAGCTCCAACTAGATGAATACCAACTATGTGTGCCAATCATTGTTGTTAAGTTCTGCATACATTCTATCTAAGCCCAGCAACATGTTTTCATGTTACAAATTATTTAAACGAGATTCATAATGTGTAAGTAATTTGTCCAAAGTGACAAAGCTAATAAATGACAAATGGACTTTATTGAACACATAGCTGACCTACTGAAGTCCAGCACAGTTCAGGGACTATTGGTGCAGGAGAATCAACTCGTGGTCACAAGTGCTCCTGGCTTTGTTTTCCCCTACGAAGGGCTTCCTGTGCATATATATGAACACTCAACCTGGTCTTCCAAGCTTTGTTCACAGCCGCTACATTCTTTGACCACCCTTTAGACCAAGAATTTAGTAAGGCAGAGGGTCCCTGGGAATCAGGCATGTTTGGACCAGCACTCTGAATCCTATGTACTGAAAGCATGGTCTAGAAAAGGTGTGCAGGGATAAACTCTTGATGAACATGTCTCCATGGTCTCAAAGATTCCTCACCCAGGAAAAGGTGGGGAGATATCATCTCACTATGACTCAGCTAAGGGGTCTGACAGGAGGCTGGTTATCAACTACCTGTCAATGCACCAGGCCAAGCCTACCCTGGTGTCATGGACTTCTCTAACCTTGGGATGGAAAAAAATTGAGCCTACCTATTTTGGAATTTTAGGGGTCAAGACCTGACATATTCCAGCAAATCTAGACCCATCTTCTCCTTAAGGTCAAGAATCTCCTTAGAATCCTCCAATTCTTCTTTTTCCCATTGGGCATTCCAATTTGTCTCCAGGTAACAGTCCCATGATCAGGGGACTCTACTCAGCACTCTGAAAGCCTGTTCACTTTCCATTCCAGACCATTAAGAGAGGTAGGTTGAAGCTGAAACAGGGAATGAAAAGGAAACATTGGTTTGCTATCACCGTGGAATGCTCTATTTTATTTTTACCTTCAAAATATATAAATACATACTTATTTCCCTTAAAACAGATTTTAAAATTTAAGTATCTAGTCCTTCCACTCTTCTGATTCCACTCCACTCAAATAACAAATGCTACCAATTAGAACTTCACATATAACTCAACAAAAAGATAACCAATCAAAAGATGGTCAAAAGTGCCAAACATTTCTGCAAAAGACATACAACAGGCACATGAGAAATCACTTATCATCAGGGAAATGCAAGTCAAAATGACAGTGAGATAGTAATACCTCCCAGTTATGAGAATAGCCCATATCAAAAAGATCAGAAACTAAAGGTTGGTGAGTATAAAAAAAGGAACACTCATATACCATTAGAGGAAATGTAGACATGATAGAAAAAGAGTATGGAGATTTCTCATATTATTAAAAGTAGATCTATCATATGATCTAGCAAGCCCAGTCTTTTTTAAAATTTTAAATGTATTGATTACATTATCCTTTAATTTTGTACAATGTATGATTTCCCTGTGTGTAACTCCCACCACCAATCCACCCGTGCCCTATCTCCATAGTCCCATGTGCTGTTCCCACTCCTGTCCTAACCCATCTCCCTCTTCCCTCCTCCCCTACAGAATATCTCCGATCAATAGCTACCTGATGATTTTGATTTTTACTTTATTGTACATGTTTTTCCAATTCTTTATTTCATTTCTCTACATTCCTCCTATAAGTGATACCATTCAATATTTTTCTTTTTCTTTTTTAAAGATTTATTTATTTATGCATATAGAACTGGGGTACAAGCCAAAAGTGCAGGGGCGGTGAGAGGATTCACTAGAGACAGAGTGAAGAGCAGAACAGATAGAGTGATGAAATACACTGCTGAAGGGAGCAGCGGACAAGACAGTAGAGGTCTGCTGCACCATGTGGTTCACTCTGGGGAGGGGATTGAACTCACATCCAAACATCTGTGGCCAGCTTCTCAGTGCTGCACTTTAACCTGTTGTAACACCTAGAAAGGCCCTTGATATTTTTTTCTTTCTGGCTTATTTCACTGAGCATAATCCCTTCCAGCTCCATCCATGTTGCTGGGAAGGACATGAATTTATCCTTTTTGATTGCTGAGTAATATTTTATTTTGTAAATATACCACATCTTCTTGAGCCAGTCATCTATTGTTGGCCATTTGGATTGCTTCCGTAGCTTACCTATTGTAAATTGTGCTACAATAAACATAGAGGTACAGGTAGCCTTCTGGATTTATGTTTTTGTACCCTTTGGGTAGATTCCTAGGAGTGGAATTGCTGAATTATATGGAAGCTCCATTTTTAGTAGCTTGAAGAACCTCCACAAATTTTTCCATAGTATTTGGACCAGTTTGCATTCGCACCAACAGTATAGTAGAGTTCCTTTTTCTCCACACCCTCGACAACATTTGTTGTTGCTAGTTTTTTTTAATGTGGCAATCCCATTCTTAAGTATCTGCACAAAGGATACAATAACACTAATTCAAAGCAATCTATGCACTCCCATGTTCATTACACCATCATTAAAATGCAAAGCAATGGGAAAAAAACTACTGTCCAAGGATAGATGACTGTGTTAAAAAAAGATGTTGTACATATACACAGTGGAATACTTCTCAGTTATTAAAAAAAAAAAAAAAGATGTTCTCTAGCCATATATATAACTACCTACGTGGAAGTGGAAGGCATTATATTAAGTAAAATAGTAAAAAAAAACAAATACCACCTGATTTCATTCATTTGTATAATACAGAAATACCAAAAAAACCCGAGAAACCTAACTATAGAATTGAGGTTACCAGATGGGGAGAGTGAGAGCAGAGTGTGAAGTGTGGAGGGGGCCCAGTGGATTATGGTTGAGGGATATGGATGCTGTGTGGTGTGGTAACATACTTAACCTGTACTTCTGAATCACATAATATTGTATAACATCAATTACCTCAATAAAAATGATATACATTAAGAACAAATATTTATAGGTTCAACTTCCTTAATGCTTCTAACAAATATATAAGGGATGGGCTGTTGGGTATAATGGCAACTTTTTTGGAACTGCTGTCAAGTGTCAAATTCCCGTTTTCCCTTGGGTAGTGGCTCCCATTACATCTTACCCCAATTCTAGGATTTACTCTCATTTTAGGACTTTGAAACAGTTCCATTCACTTTAAGTTTTTGATCATGTACCAGATTCCAATTCTTTTTACCTTCACCCCTAGCTCCAGTTTGCTAGAAATAGGCTCCAGTTGTCTCTTTCATATCTCCTCTTCCATGTACTTACCAGTATCGGAATTAGGGTAGGGAAGAGGGACCTTAGCAGAAATGCTAATCCCCTTCCTTTGGGTTGTGGTTGCTTTGATTCTGGTTAATTGATAGTCTGAATTCACACAGGTATGTAGCTGGAATTTTATCAATGCGTAATTTTATTACATCATTCATGAGTTATGCAGAAAATACTGATTTAATGAATTATGCTGTTCTCCCAAATACTGATTAAAAACATCATTATATACTGTCAAAATTTACATATTAATTTTGCCCATCTCATTAAAAATTCTGGGAAGCTGTCAATCTCCTTGATGGCAAGAACAATTTTTCTAAAATTATAAAGTATGCTATGAATGTCGGTTTTATTGGCAAATAACAATCAGTTTGCCTTGAGGTTAATGACAGAATCTGGTCAATTTTGATAAAATGTCCAAAAAATACTGCATAAGCAGCCATAATTTTCCATCAAAAAATAATGTTTTTGTAAAAATATTAATTCAAATCATAATTCAAACAATCAAGTAAGTGCTTTTCCTAAAGCCAACCATCTTTTTTTGGTATGTAGAAGTACTTTGTGCATACTTGCCATTTCATCGCATTGACTGTTGGAAAGACAAGTGTTCAAGGACTGAGAATTAATAAAATTAATAATTTGGTCCCACTGCCTTGATCTGCAGTAAAGAACCCGAGCTTTTTTTCACCTTTTTTTTGTACTCTTGACACAAATATCAACAAGTACAAAAGACAAAATAGTACCTTTATATTATAAAAAATACTTTGCCCTTAAAGATCCCCTAAAATAGTCTCACAGACTCCAAACAATATGTAAACCATACTTTGAAAATCACTGTACTATATAAAAGTCACACAAAAAATGTGAAATGGAAAAAATGTGTCTAATATATATTCAAATGAAATATAAGTAACAATATGCTCATGTTAATGTAATTCTACATTTACAGATGATTTGAAATAGAAAAATATGACAAAAGTCACTCAGAAAAAAGGGACTGTATTAATTATAGTATATTTACCAAATGGAGTAGTATGAAGCCATAAAAATATATATACAAATTGATATATACTGACATGGAAAGTCTCTAAAAAATATTTAGAGATATTTATTGCCAAGAGTACAGATATCATGTTCCCATTTTTATTAAAAAAAATGAGAATGCATATGTATATGTATTCAAAAGAAAAATGACTATAACACTATAAATATTTAACAGTGTTACCTTCTGGAGTAAGGCTAATAATAGGGTAAGGGGAAGTTAGAATATGAAAAACTTTATTATTTTAAATGTAGTTTGAATGTTTTACGAAGAAAACCTATTGATATCTTATTCACAAAACAAACCAAGAAAGAAAATGGAAAGAAGTTTGGCAAGAGATACAAAAGTAGTTAACTGGTTTATCTACTGATGGAACTATTGGTATTTCTATTTTCTTCTGTTTATTTTTCTGGTTTTTTAACACATATACTGATATTACTAAATATTTCTTCTTTATTAACAAATTGTTTTTATTTGCAAAACATCAAAAGGCTACACCGTGAATTGCTTAAAAATCATTAGTTGTGGATCACCAACTCTGGTCAGAGTATATATTTTAAATATTTGTTATATGTGCAATATAAAGAGATAACAATATCAAAATCTTACCCCCTACAAAATAAACGTATGTTAATTAAGTAAATAAAAATTAAAATAAGTGTGTATATATATTCATATTACTCACTATGAAGGAAATTGTTTTACTGAAAAATAATAGTAGCAGTTTATGAAATAGAGTGCATAGTGACCTAGTGCAACTAATATCTTTTGTTATATTCTTTTTCCCTACTTAACTTGGAGCCCGAAATTTTATTTCACTTTCACTGGTCTGTTTCACTAACACCATTTAACAATGTGTACAAGAGCTTCTTTAAAGAAATAGTAAAAATAACTTGAAAGCAGCTATGCTTTTTTCATTTACAAGACAGAATTCTGATAATACAGGACTATATACTACATACAATCATCACAGAATAACTAATCTGGCATCTATATCAAATCACACATTTTACAGATATATGTTAGATAAACTAGAAAAAAGGGCAGTAGTACAATCTCATGAAACAATTTTGCAGGAAATAAATTTAATACTCTACTCCATGATATATACTCACTCATGTTCTTGATGACTATATGCAAATTGTACAATGCTCTTACACAATGCCAGTCCTTCAATACATAGGTGAGTTTTAATGAGACTAGAATAATTCTTAAGTTGAAATATTACTTCTTTCAGAAATGAAATAAAACTCCCATCTTATAACAAAGCAAGACTCCAGAATTCCTCTGGCAAATACCAGATTAACTAAAAAGACCCCCCTTTTTTGTTTTGGCCACTGATTTCTTGCTGGCATCATTTCCTCTGGCACGCCACTCATGTAATTTTGTATTTAAGGTTTCAGATGAAATCTATAGGAAATAGAGAAATAATATACTATTAAAAATTTGCATTAGTTGAATAAAGTAACATAGGTTACTAAACATACATCTAGCATCTTTCCCCCAGATAAAATGAAACAGTGAGATCTACATAATCTATTTCTGTATCAAAGAGTAAATAAAGAGAAAAAAATCACTATATTATTTCTTTAAGCAAGTATTTGTCCCCTGTTATTTATTCTTAGGTACTAAGGTATAGACACTCACTGGGAAGGAGAGAACTGTGAAATTATTTCACATCTATGTCACATTGTATATTAGCTTTGGGTCAGCCCACAATGGAAAATTTAATGTATTTGCCTGGAACATGTACATGGGGTGCACCTGTAACTGAAAAACCATGTAACTTCTACATCCACAATGGCAGAAAGAATAAAAGAGCACAGTTCAGTCATTATCAGCACCTTGCTGAGATGCTGAGATATAGGTGATATTAAAAAAAATTGATGATTAAATTTCTTAAATTGTTTTTTGCTTCATGGACTTTTTGAGAACCTGCTAAAAACTAAAAATCTACTTCTGAAGGAAACTGATAAATGTATGCATGCATAATGCTTGGCATAATTTATGGGGGCTTACATGCTAAATGAAGTCTAAATCTAAATTAAAAGTTCCTGAAGAACGTGTTTTTTTTTAATCCAAAGGCAACACAAAAGGTAAATGAAACCAAAAGAGAAAACTCTAACTAGACTCGCTAAGAAAAAGACAGAAACTCCAATAAACAGAATGAGAAATTAAAGAGAAGTTACAATAGAGATCACAAAAACACAAGAGAATCATAAGAGACTACTATGAACATCTTTATGCCCATGAGTTGTTATTACCCAAGTGAAATGGATAAATTCTTTAAATCATACACTCTCCCAAGACTGAAACAGGAAGAAATAAAAAATTTGAACTGACCAATCACAAACATGGAAATGGAAACAGTAATCAGAAATTACCCACCAAAAGCAAAAGTTCAGAACAAGTGGTTTCACAACTGAAATCTAGCAAACCTTCAAAGAGGAACTAGCACCTATCTTTTCTCATAAAATTGAGGAGGTATGCTTCTAAATATATTTTATGAAGCCAAAATCATTCTGATAGCAAAAGCAGACAAGGATATCACAAAAAAAGAAAACTACAGACCAATATCCTTAATGCACATAGATGTAAAAATCCTCAACAAAATCTTAGCAAAGTAAATTCAACAATACATTTAAAAGATCATATATCATGGAACAAGTAGGATTTATTCCAGATATGCAAAGATGGTTCAACACATGCAAATCAATCACTGTGATTCAACACATAAGGAAAGATAAAATCATACAATCATTTCAATAGAGGTAGAGAAAGCATTTGATCAGATCCAAAACCCACTTATAAAAACTCTTAAGGGCCCTCCCTGATGGTGCAGCGGGTTAAAGCACTGCACTAAGAAGCTGAAACCACTTCCGCATGAGTTCGATTCCCGCCTGCCCTGGAGGTGACCACATGGCGCGGCAGTCCTCTCCTGACCCACCCGCTGTTCCCCTCAGCAGTGTACTTCGTTGATCTGTACTTCGTTGTTCTGCTCCCCACTCTGTCTCTGGTGAAGTCTTTCGCCATCCCTGAGTCTCTGGCCTGTACCCCAGTTCTGTATGCACAAAATAAATAAATCTTTAAAAAAAAAAAAAAGCTCTCAAGAAAGAGGACACAAGGAACAAACCTCAACAAATACAAAAAACAAATATGAAAGCCCACAGCAGCAAGAATACTCAAAGATGAAAGGAGAAAAGCTTTTTCTCTAAGATCAACTCACCTATTTATTGAAGGACTATGAGCATAAGACAGGCTTGTACAAATCACAAGTCTTCAAGACTTAAAAGAGCTTAGTATCAATCCTTTGTTGTCATAGGTAACTACAGTTGCTAGCAATTAGTTAGATTCCAGATATATCTCAAGGAAGCAAAACCCCAAATAGCCAAAGCAACTGAGAGAAAAAGAAAATTGGAGGAAAAAATAATAGTGCTATATAGCCACATGAAAAACATGAAATGAGGCCATTACTTAATTTCATATGCAAAAATTCAAAGTGGGTTGAAGACTTGTATATAAGACCTGATACCATAAAATACATAAAACACAGGCATTCCACTTGTGGACATCAACCACAAGGTTGCATACTTCAACAGCAACAAAACCAAAAATAAACAAATGGGACTATATAACAAACTAAAAAGCTTGTATCTTGAAAGAAATCACCACAAAAACAGTCAACAGTGTACTGGGAGAGATAGCTGCATATTATGTGTGTAACTAAGGGTTGTTTTCTATAAAATGAAAAGAACTCCTAAAACTCAAGAACAACAAAACCAAACTAAAACAGGCAAAAGACTTTATAACAGAGATTTCTCCAAAGAAGACATTCAAATGGTCTATAGGCAAGTGAAGAAATGTATCACCAATTATAAGTTCAAATCAAAATCACAAACAGATATTACCTCACTCTGTGACAAAGGTCTACATTAAGAAACCTGGAAACAGGGTGTGTTGACAAGGAAGAGGAAGAAAATCTCATCCCTCTTTGTAGGAATGTAGCCTCTATGGAAATGTGGTACAGCCTCTATGGAAAATGGTGTGAAGATTCTTCAAAAAGTAAAAATGGAAAAACCACTGCTATATTTTTACCCAACCACTATGAAATATGAAATACAAAAAACAATTTTATGTATTCCTATGTTCATAACAGCATTATTCACAACGGCCACGTTACGGAACCAACATAAATGACCATTAACAGACAACTGGATAAAATAATTGTGGAATATATGCTCAATGGAATATTACTCAGCTATTGATAAAGATGAAATACTGCCTGTTAAGACAAAAATGAATTAATCTTGACGTGTTTATGCTAAGTGAAATGGAAGGAGAAAAGACAGTTACCAGATGGTTATATTAATTTGTATAATATAAATAACCAAATAAAACAAACTGGCAAAACAAGAAGAATATTCTCAGACTCTATGAAAAACACACTAGTTACCAGGGAGGTAAGGGAGAGGAAAAAGGGAATAAGGGGTGGAAGGTGATAGGATTACTGCCTGGGAAAGTTGGTAGACAGTTAACAACGAATGTTATATATATGGATGTGTGAAGTTGTGCTCCCCAAATTATATACTTACATAATTGTTAGCAAATCAATAAAATTTGGGGAAAAAAACAATTTTATCAAATCAACTTACCTGTGAACTAGAATCTGTAAATAAATCTTCTAATTCTGGATCGCTGGATGGCTGATTCCAAGAAGTCAGTCTCATTGAATTTCTGTGAATCTCTTCTTTTGATGAACTAGCACCAGGACATGTCCCATCAACCTTTATAATTTTTATAGAATTCAAAACAGTTATAGCATATACCATTTTCTTAGCCAAGTTAGATACCTAAAAAAGCAAAGCTGAGAAAAATTTTAATATTCTGAAGTACTAAATTTTTTTTAAAAGATTTATTTACTTATGCATACAGAACTGGGGTAAGGCCAGAGGTGTGAGGCGGTGAGAAGATGCACCAGAGACAGAGCGGGGAGCAGAACAGGCCAACTGATGAAGTACACTGCTGAGGGGAGCAGCAGGTGGGTCAGAAGAGGTCTACTGTGCCATGTGGGATCACCTCCAAGGCGGGTGGGGATCGAACTCATGCTGAAGTAGCTTTAGCTTCTTAGTGCTGTGCTGTAATCCACTGTGCCACCAGGGAGGGCCCTTGAAGTACTAAATTTTAACAATGATAGATGTAACATTATCTATAAGGGATTTTTTTGCCCTAAGTATCTTAAAATAGTTTGTAAATAATACTGATTATTTAAATTTATAACCAAATTCAGTGATGTGGCAGGAAATTGCACTCTTTCTTCTCATGCAGTCAAGAAAAACAAAAAGCAAGGTGATAAAAAGGAGAGTTTTGGGGTACACAACTGGTAGGCTCAGCAGAGTTTTTAAATCTCTAAACAAAGCATTTGAACCAAATAGCACTAAAATCTACCAGCTCCATTTACAATGAAACTAAGTTTAAAGATATTTTTAGGATACTCAAACTATAAGCATGTGAGGACAAACCACCAACAGCCATAAGATTTATAATGTGTAGCATCTGTACTGGAAAAGGTACAGACAAACAACGAGGAGCCCGGGACAGGAAAATCCCAAAAGAAACCACAGGTGTAAACTGGAACGCACGATAACAACATCTGAAAATAGCAAGGCAATTTGCCCAACCCAATAGCAATTGACTGAAGGGTCATGCCAGTTGACTGGTAAGTGGCTAAAATGACAGCTCCTATATAAACTCTCCTAGTCAGCTAATGCTGTCTTCCAAGAGAATGCCCATATTGAGGAGAAATGAGAGGATAAGTCAAAAGTAAGCATGAAATATATAGTAAAGACAAAGGGAAGAGAAAGTCCAGATAAAAGTGGCAGAGGTATGTATCTCATAAACCAAATTTCCATATTCTGAACATTACGCAACAATGGTTCTTTGAACCAAGTTTTTTGAACTTGGAAACTATCTTGAAAATACAAGAAAATTTCTATAAAAATTATGTTAGAACTGAAATGGAGTTCCTAATACTAATTAACATTAGCAACCATCTACTATCATGCTGAATTTATCATCTAAACATTAATATTCTATTTAATTATTAGGTTTTATGAACTTTTAGCATAGCAAGATTTTAGATCTTACAGATACTTAAGGTCAAATTTTCAAATTTATACAATCATTTAACAGAGTCACATTATCAAAGAATAGTTACTCTACTATTTATCTTACAATAGAGCAATAATTGTGGTTATAATCTCTTACTATTTATCTTAAAATATTTTCAAAACATTTAATTTTAATAAAATGTACCGCCTAGAATAGTACTAAACTCATAGTCTCTCTCTGATCATGCTAAAAATCACATTAAGATGTACTTAGGGGCCCTCCCTGGTGGCATAAAGGATTAGGGCACAGCCTGTTCTGCTCTCCACTGTCTCTGGTGAATCCTCTCACCACCCCTGTACCTCTGACTTGTACTCCAGTTCTGTATGTATAAATAAATAAATCTTTAAAAGAAATTTACTGGATCCTAAGCAATAAATTGACCTTCTGAGATACTTAACAGGAACAGAGTATGATGAATAATACTAATAAGACATTTTTAGGGTATTTATAATAAATTTGTTTTTATTTTCATTAACCACATGAACTTCCATATGCCAATATTAACTATACCTAGGAAAGAATTTCCAAGCTGTATAGTTAATACAATGCAGAATTAAAATCTAAGCTGACATTCCACACAAGAAACTTAACAGGTATATAGTATATAGTATATACCAACTACCCATTTTATTTTAAAAAATGACTTTGTCAAATCAGATTTATGAACAGCAAAGGAAATTATAGCAGATAGATTCTTTAAAGTGCTCATGTCAGAATTTATAACAGGTTTAAAATATAGTATTCTAATATAAACTAACACTATATGAAAAAATTCATCATCATACAATTAACACCTTGGTATCAGCATCTATTTCTTCCTTGCTTCTCTTAGAACATGAACAGCTTTCTTCAGAGTTGACGAGGCATCTCTTTTTTTTTGAATCACAAGAAGGTTGACATAACAGTCTATTGTGAAAATCTTTTCCCAGCATCTCAATTGTCATGTGGATAAGGTATGTGTCAATGTTTTGGGGAACAAACATTCTAATTAGCTTCATTTTGTGTATATCTGTGAAAATATTAAAACAAAAAATAAGAGTTTAAATAAATTACACAGGACATTTTAGGAAACCTGTAAGTTGGGTATGGTAATATTTAATTGAAAAGGAGAAAGACTGACAAAACGTTTGCCTCTTTCAAATCCCCCTAATTCTAGAATGGAATAAAAATGTGTTCCTCTCATTCCTGCTAACCTGTATTTCCTGACTCAAAGTCCCAAAGTCAGATAACTGCTATACACTATCCTTAAATTACTTATCTTACTGTTTTTTTGGCTGTCCTGAGAATTAGAACCACATTATAGAATTACTCCTACAGGAATTAAGTATGCCACAAATTCCAAATATCAATGACAAGTCAAATTTTCGAATAACGTCAAAGAAAAGTTAATCATAATTGTAAATAAGATGCTAATAAACAGGACCTTTTCAATGATTCTTATAGATTAACAGACAACATTTTAAAAAAATAATATATATATATATATTTTTTAACATCATTTTGTCTCTTTTTCCATCTCATTTCACCAATTCACCTGTGTGCCATCACCATAGTCCAATGCACTTCCCCTCCACCCCCCATTTTTTATTCCATTCCCCACTCCACCCCGTAAAATGTCTCTGGTATATAGTTGTTCATTATTATTGTTATTTTCTCCCTGGTCCTTTATATTCCTGCTATGAGTGAAACCATCCACTATTTTTCCTTTTCTTTCTGACTTATTTCACTAAGCATGATCCCTTCCAGCTCCATCCATGTAAGATAACACTTATTTTAAATGCATATTAACTAAATGAGTTATCTGGGAAAGATATATCTTATTTTCAGAATCAAGTAATTTTTAATCTTTTCTATCTCAACAGATCTGACTCAGACTGTCAGTCTCTTCCCATCTACAAACTATGTGGTATCCTTGAAACCATTATTCATGTTTCAAACCTTCTTTGCAACATCATATTCATCTGTAATGCTTTAAAGAACTGTAAAATCAAGCAACTTAGAAATTATTCACAAAACTTCATGTAACTTATAAATCTGTTAATAAACATTTCTGACACAAATTCATATTAGCAATCAAGTATTTTTAAATACCAACTTGAATTCAAGTTTAAATTTTACTTTCGTCCAAAGATCTGACCTTGCTACTTCAGGATATCCCCAAAATAGTGTAGTTTTTTGTTTTTTGTTTTTTAAGGTCATGAAGATAAGGTTATATAGCTAACTGAAAATCTGACTATTAAGTATGTACTCTTTTTCTAATTATGAAAATGCATAACTGATGTCAATCAAGATGTTGAAAAGACCAACTTACCTCTAATGTGAAAAAAATCATCAATATTACCATCACACCTTAACAAAACTAAAATCTTATTTAACCACTGACATTATATCATCTTAATATACTGAAATTCCACCAAGTTTATTACTTTATTATTTTTATGCCTGAGAAGTCATCTTTTGTATATGTCTATTAGAATTTACTTTCAGTTCTCTTTCATTTGTCTTTCTTTGAAAATAAAAATGTTTTCATGAACATTATACTACAAGTATCTTTCCATTTTTCCTAGGTACTTAGAAATGGATTGCTAGCTCAATGGCTATACAAATTTTATATTTTGAGGTATACTGCCAAGCTAGCTCTGACTTATACAAATACAACCAACCACATATAGTGACTGAGTACTCAAGACAAGACTTGTGTAACTAAGAAGCTGAGTTCTTAATTTTAAGTATTTTAAATTTAGTACTTTTTTATGTAGTTAGAAGTACACTGAAACAAACTGGACATCTTAATTCACTTTATTCACCTTTAAATTTTATGAAAGCTAAATACAAATTAAGTATTTCAGGTTAAAATTTAGCATTCAAAAAAAAAAAAAAATTTAGCATTCAGAGGCCCTCCCTGGTGGCGCAGCGGGTTGAAGCACTGCACTGAGAAGCTAAAGCCACTTCCGCATGAGTTTGATTCCCACCTGCCCCGGAGGCGACTACATGGCGCGGCAGACCTCTCCTGACCCGCCCGCTGCTCCCCTCAGCAGTGTACTTCGTCCATCTGCCTGTTCTGCTCCCCACTCTGTCTCTGGTGAATCCTCTCACCCTCCTCATCTCTGGCCTGCACCCCAGTTCTGTACGAATAAATAAATAAATCTTAAAAAAAAAAAAATTAGCATTCAGAATTCAGATGTTATAAATAAGATATATCTGATTCCAAAGACTTAGTACAAATACAAAAAAAAAGTATATAAAATATCCCATTAACTATTGTTATAGTTATTAATGTGGAAATGATATTTGAAATATATTGGACTAATTAAATTATGTAGTTAATTAGCTATTTACCTTTACTTTTTTAATGTCGGTACTAGAAAATTTTAAATTACTCATGTGACTCACATTCCATCTGCCCTAAAAACCATACAAATTATCCCATACACTAGCCAACAAGTGTTATATTCATTTTCTTCTGTATTTTTCAGCTGTATAAACAAACAATACATGCTTAATTTCATTATACTGTAAATGTAGTATTTATAAACCAAATTTTTATGTAAAATCCACACACTCTTGATCACAGTTATGGGCTAAACTATTTTAAAGACAAAGTGAGATGTTTTATTCCATTTGACTCAATTTATTTCTAACTTGAGATGTATAAATATTCCCTCTCATTTAAAACCATTATGAATAAATAAATGTAGTTATTATACTGTAATAAGAATGTAATGTGTAGATATAATTAGAAATTTCATATATTAGCTTGTACATTTTCTTAAGTACCCTTTATATTTTTAGCTTCAAGAAATACAATATACAAATACAAATTAGTGGCATTTAATTTTAAGATATATCTCTTATTCTGCTCTAACTTTCCAAACAAGTGCTAAAAATAGCTATTGGAAAATGAAATAATGAATACTGGCTACACTTCTTCACTATTCTAGAAGAGATCATATTACCTTTACTTTTGTGGCAAGTCCCTTGGAAGCCGCCTTTAATTTTCCAGTTATATGCACATAAAGAATGGGAGAATGAAATCATTTAAAATATTACCTAGGCACCTCATTAAATGTCTTGCTTAATTTATTATTAAGGATAGCTAGAATTAACTCCATAAAAGAAACTTAAATTTAAAGAACAAAAAGGTACAAATTCCTTTAAATGTTAAGTGTTAAAAGGACAAAATCTACTTAGTAAAGAAAATAGCATGTGAAAACTGGACATGTGATTTCTTAATTCACAAATACTTTCCTTAAAGGTAAAAGAATTATTACATAAAACAGAAAATTACTCAATTCAGGGTCCTGCAAATTAATTGCCAATTGCCTTGTACATGAAAATACTTATAGTTACAGTTCAATAACAAAATATCTAAATCGTTAATAATAGCATGTATATCTTCACTTCTTATGATTTAAAGCTCAATAACATTTTCTGCAATAAGAAAACAAGTAATGTTTTATCAAGGAAAAACAAAAATTCAAAAGTAAAATTTTACATCAAGAAATGATTATTAAACAATAAATGTACAATCAAAAGAAATGAAATTTAGAGCTTATGTTTTCACAATCCTCTAAACTTTTTCAAGTTTTGTTTGGAAGTAAGCAACAATTAATATACACATGCATATTATATGTACAACCTATATATAGTATATTAACAGAAAAATGGGAAACTTTTTAAAGTATGTTCAAAAGTGTCCTCTACTGTTCAAAATTTCAATTAACATTTATTTCTGAATAAGAATGTATGTGCTGTATGTATTCGGTGTATGGTGATAAGACAAATGCTTTAACCAAAGTTTCAGTGACTATTAATTTCAACTGTTTTTCTCATCTCCCTGGTAATTGCTAAACCAGGCTGTGCAAGTAAAGAGAAATTTTCTTTACATATATTTTGCTTAACTGTAATATTTCTTAATTTAAAAAGCTATCAGTAATTAAATTTACTAAACTAAGAAAGTAAAAAGCACTACACATGATAGAAAACCTTTAAAGATATAGATATACAAAAATATTAACCTGAATATAATGAAGTATATTATTTTAATCATCAACTAGAGGCTTACAAACCCAAGTCCTATGTCAGAATTAGAAATTGCGTATTTCATTCTTTTAAAATCTTGGCAGTATGGCCCTCCCTGGTGGCGCAGCGGGTTAAAGCACAGCACTGAGAAGTTAAAGCCACTTCCACATGAGTTCGATCCCCGCTTGCCCCAGAGGTGACCACATGGCGCGGCAGACCTCTCCTGGCCCGCCCACTGCTCCCCTCAGCAGTGTACTTCGTCGATCTGCCTGTTCTGCTCCCCACTGTCTCTGGTGAAGCCTCTCGCCAGTTCTGTATGCACAAATAAATGAATCTTTAAAAAAAAAATCTTGGTAGTACAACTTCCACATGGTTTAGAAAAAGAAAAACTTGCCATTCATTAGACATGATATTAAAAAAATTTTGTGACTATAAGCCTTAGGAACAGGATAGGAGTAGGAAGTAAAAATATTCTAATTTTCAGTTTCCTTTCCAAGTCTAAAATTCTGTAACTTTACAACTATAGTTGACCTTGAACAACATGGATTTGTAATGTGCAGGTTCATTTATATGTGGATATTTTTCTGTCCTCTGGTTCTGCACTCAGAGGATTCAAAAAAACTGCAGATGCTATCACTCACAGGTTCCCCCCTTCATAACCCCTCCCCTATATAATCCAAGGGGAGTTTTACATGATCTAAAAAAAAATTAGCAGTATTTCTAATGTACCTCATCATTACCTTTGTAAAAAGTGAATAACAAATTGGATTAAAAAGCTATAGAACAAGAAAGGACTTAAGCCAAGGTTCTTCTACAAAGCCACATAATGAAATTCTTCCTCAAGGGGGCTTACAGAACTTGATCTATCCCTTCGTCATGAGAATGACTGACATCACTGACTCTTGATTAGAAAGGCTACTTAGCAGTGCTAATTACAATAGCCAAGCTATAGAAACAACCTAAGTATCTAAATACAGGTGGGTGGATCAGGTAAAGATCCAGTTTTACAGTGGAGGGAAGGAAATACACTGGACTATGGTGATGGAACATGGGTGATTTGGTGATGAGAAGCCCATGATTACAACTGAGATGAAAAAAAAAAATGCACAAAATGATGTAAAAATAAACTATTAATTTAAAAAATAAAATAAAAAATAAGCACTTAAATCTCAACTATCAAGAAAGAAATTCTTACCATTTGTGACATACATGTATATTAAATGAAATAAGTCATTTATGGTGGCTGCAGAGATTATGTTAAATAAAGTAAATCGGGAGAAAGACAAATCCTGAATAGTGTCACTTATAAACAGATAAAACCAAATTAAGAACCAACCTCAAAAGTTGACTATAGAACTGAAGTTACCAAAATGGAAGAGATAAGAATAAGGCAGGGAGGGTAGACAATGGACATGGTGGTGGACTCTGGGTGTCTTATGGAGGGTGCTTATGGTAACAACACCTGGAGGGTACTTATAGTAACAATACCTGGAGGGTGCTTATAGTAACAACATTTGGAGGATGCTTATGGTAACAATACCTGGTATTCTTAAACTTCTAATACACAAATAATAGTGTAAACTAATGTTGCCTCAAACACACACACAAAACATGTAAAAATACATATTATATATAAAGTATATATTAGATATATTACAGCTATATTTAATTGAAATCAATGACAAGTAATAAAAAGATTTAGTGATAAACTAAAAGACTGAATATGGAGGGAAAAGGTGTTTTTTTCATTCAATAAGGTAGTACTAGGAAAGAAAAAAGTACATTATATGAGGAGAGGTGTGGTAGTTGTAATCTGAAGATGAAAACAAGATTATTACAGGCTTAGACTTGCTGTTTCTAAAATGACCAAAAAATAACAAAAGTTAGATTTTCATAGCAGCATAAAGAATTAATGCTGTTAAAATGAAAAATATTAGTGGGTTGCTTGTTTACTTCATCTGAGTTCAACAACTCAAGTCATTAACATTGTAGACTAGGTCATGGTTATCACCTGAGTTAATGGGAGGGTTTCGGATAACATCAGCAATAATCTTCTGAACCTCTAGAGTCAGGCCTGCCCGCTCCGTATCGACGGGGTAGCCAGCTTTCACCGCTTGGGATAAGTGCATGCCAACTGCTGTAAGAGGCAGGATTCTATGCTCAGCTATGTTCTTCTAGAGAAACAACAGCAAAACAACCAGTAAGTTTTACAAGTTTCCACTATATTGAAAATAAAATGTAAAAAATCTTCAAGTGTAAATTTATTGAGAAATAAACAATGAATTAAATCTTGGCTTAAAATTCCTATTTTTAACTCTTTGAAACTACCCACATTAAACTTCACAGGTTCTACTTTTTATAGTTATTATAATGAATTAAACAAAATCATCCAGGTTTAGATAAGAAATCAAGCCTTATCTGTTATTATTCACTTTCAAACCTACTAGGTAGCAGTGTAGAAATTTTCTAAGTCTAATGACTTACATGCTTTTGAAAATATAGAATAGTGTAATTCAATATTCTAAGAAAACACACAATACTTTAGCTAGATGAATTTCCAAGAAGACAAATCCTAAATAGCTTGAGGATAATGTAAGTCTCCAGTACATTCTATAAAAAATTCTTGAGAAGAATTTAGAAGGTGTTTTCAATTGGGTCTAGTCATAAGATAACAAACCACAACTTAGCAAGGGCTTTCATCATTTTCCTAATATAGAACTTAAAATGAATTATGTCAAATTTAGGACAGTAGCATGAATTTACGTGGCTTTGTAAACAAATGCAATGCCAAATCTATTTAAGATATGAATTAAGTAAAACATTTTTAAACTCTCAGAAAGTTTAGTCATTAAGCTTTTGTTGCATGATACTCTATTTTAATACATTTGGAAAGGGTGAATATGGATTGTATTTGTAAGAATTTTGACACTTGTACAATATGGAATATTTACAGCAATATTTTCACTCTCCAAAGATAAGTTGTAAATTACTTTCATTAAATAGCTACCCTTTTTCTACTAAACATTGTGTACTAAGTGTGTATGTCAGAGTTACTTGATACCAAGCATCAAATTACATAAAACTAATTGTATTATTGCTCCTGATTAATTGGTCTGTAGGTATGCTTAATTTGTGGTTAACTGGCAAGACCCTCTCAGACTCCTGGGAGGCACATATAAAAACACCACCATATTACAAAATAAAATATAACCAAATGATAGCAAAAGACATAAATGAAGATATACTACTCTTTTATACTTAACCATGTATCTCTAATAACATACATCAAATCTTCTATCCTAGCTACACCAGAATGCATTTTAATCAGAAAACTAGAAAGTTACACTACACAGATAATCAAATTACACATACACAAGCATAAGAGACTAACTTGAAATTTAAATAAGAGACTATTTAAATATTTAAATAAGACTATTACTATTTAAATAAGAAGATTAACTTGAAATATCTATGTAGCAAGTAATTTGTTTCAAAAATAGTAAAATGGAATTAAAATGGAATTATTTGCCTTCTTGTGTGGCTCTAGGATTTTAAATTAAGGAATTTGTCTAATTAGAACATCTACTAAATGATTATGAAAGTCTATTTTTATTTATAATAGGCCTTAGCCACAATTAGAAGTGTGTTAAACAGTCTACTAAATAAAGACACAAAGATTAAGAAAAGCAGGCACTAGACCCAATAATTTGTTTCAAGTCAATTTAATGTCACAGAGGACAGGCATTCAAATTAGTGAAATTTAGCTGAAAGTATCATTCTGTCCCTAGTCCATTAAGATATAATCTACATTTTATACATGAAAAAAATCTTCAACAGCTTAAGAATTTATACCAGACAATGAAGACACATTAAATGTGACCAATTATCATGGCAGATTTTTTCCAAAGAGAATTAGGTATGGTTTAAAAAAATAGAATATTACTACTAATAAAGCAAGTTTGTATTTTTAAATGTATTTGTGGCTTCTTGACTATTCTGAGCCATTCTCTTCATTTTTATATACATAAACAAGGGTATATGAATATAAAAGCATGACTATATACACAGGCATGTTCATGTTTTTAATGCCGCTCTGCAATCTTCCTTTTTTAACTTAGTAGTGTCTTGGAAATTATTCCTTAGCAGTATATATACTAATAGTTTTAAACCATTAATTCCATTTTTTAAAAGCTCTAAAATACAGTCAAATGTAATATCCCTAAGGTATCAATATGTTTACCAGTAACTGTGATATATCATGATCAAGCTTTATCTACTATTTCAACTTAACTTGCAATGATGAGCTGAGCAAAAAAAGAGAATATTCTACAATAAAAATAAATATGAAGTAAAACAATATAAAATATCATAGAATTTAAAGAAATTTATCCCAAGACTCAGCTGTAATAATAGAAAACTGAAAAAACATGTTTAGGTTCAAATTTAATAGTTCCTCTAAATTGAAAGCAACACTTACCAAAGACATTTTCTTCCCTTGGAATAAAGAATATGTAATGGCCATAGAATCTGAAAGTGAGCAGGCTTCATTATTCACCACCAGACTCTTCTTTTGCCATTCCTGAGGTTCTGTGCTTGAAAAGAGGTCTGTCTACAAAATTTTAAATGTAACAAATGATCATTAATATTAATAAAATGATAGATCAAATCAATATGACCATTAGGATTTAAATTTAATTTCTAAAGAATAGTCAGAAATTTTCCTTTTTTCATATTGAGAGATAAAAGAAATTAGTTATTTTTTTAAAGATTTGTTTATTTATGCATACAACAGCTGAGGTACAGGCCAGACATGCAGGAGGTGAGAGTTTTCACCAGAGACAGAGTGGGAAGCAGAACAGACAGATCAACTAAAATACACTGCTAAGGGGAGTAGTGGGCAAGACAGGAGAGATCTGCTGTGCCATGAGGGTCATCTTCCTGGCCTGGACTCAAGTTTGTGCTGCAGGGACACAGCTTCACAGTGCTGTGTCTTAACCCTTAGTATCACCAAGGAGGCCCAAAAGGAAAGAAGTTATTAATATTTTTAGTAACAATATGCCACAAAACTACAAATTCCTAGTCTCCCCTTTAATCAATAAGAGAATAAAAAATAAACTCTAATGTACATTCTACCTCTAAATTAGTTCCCTAGAAGTGAATATTAAATGAATTCATTAAGAATCTTGATATTCAAATGTTGATACCATAGCTGTAAATTTTGCATATATAGTAAAAAATATATAACTATCCATATAGTTAAAAAAAGATACATAGAAACTGTAGCTCTAAACTAAAAGCAGTATCTAAACTCTTAATTATGGTTCCTTCAGAGATGTTTAAAAGAAAAAGTACAGGAGAAGTCGGGAGAATTGAAAAATAAGAATAATAAAGAAATACTGGAGTTTTTTAAAGTATGAACAGTGAAGAATATTGAGAGTTATGATAGAATTATGACATAAGATTCACATATATGAATAGTTTCCCTACAAAAGTCTTTACTTTCTAAAATCTAAGAACCAATACCAAATTAAAGGACTTAAATTCAGCGGAACTTTGTTTGCTATAACCCATGCTAGTCCCTTCCTACCCTAAACAAAAAGTGAATTTGTAGATTAGTTTGAAGATTCCTGGGACAAAAACTGCTTGGACAAACAAAGAAGCCATACCATACCACAAGACCTAGGGTCTCCAGGTTATTTCTATGAACATCCAGATTTTTTTTTATATAACAGTTTATTTTTACATCATTTTGTACTTTTTTTTTTCCCATCTCAATTGTAATCCCTGCGGGTTTCCCATCATCAAGTCACCCGTGTGCCATCACCATAATCCTGTGCACTTCCCTCCCCACCCACCCCCATTTTTGATGAACATCCAGATTTTTGAAGGAAAAATAGTTGCTACTAAATGAAAATGAGTGTTTATATTTGAAGCCTTACCTAACATTGAGAAATAAGGGCCTTAATCTAGGAATGCCTACAATCAAAATCCCAGGACTACAGTATAGTCTCTACTTGGATGAAACAAAGGCATTCTCCAATGCCAAGATCTTGGAAATGTGACCACTGTGAATTATACTCGCAAATCCATAAAGAGTTTAGGATTCATGGAACAAAAATTGTAGTATCTAAGTCTGACTAAAAGGTTAGAAACATCCAAAGTATGCAGCACAGTAATTTAAGAGTAATAATTTCTAGTAAGAGTTAGAATGTGACTCTAATAAGCAAAAAATATAACCAAGTCATATATGTACAAAAGATTATTTGAACAGAAAATGATCAATTAGAGGAAAGATATGAATAGAAAAGGTAGAATGACAAAAGCAGGCAAGGCCTAATCAAGCACTATTTAGATGAGAAGACAGTCTGGCTAACTAGATTTTAATAGTACAATTTCCTTGGTAAATAGTAGATGAAAATGCCTCAGTCTGTCTTTGTTGCTAAGAGATTACTTTAGACATTATCAAAATTTCTCGTTACATACAAAGCTTCCTAAAGTTTCAGACAAATAAGCTTCCTATATCATTCTTCCATTGAAGGGAATACACTAGTTAGAGCAAGTGGTACTTATTAGTTGTTATTTCTCACTATAAATTAATGAATTTGCATTCCCATACTCGTATACTAACATATACACACACATACAACTAAAAACTAAGTTCATAGAGAAGGGTAATGCAAATCTACATTCCAAAACAAGCTACTCTGTGATGACAAGACACATCAGACTTTAAGATTCTAAAGCCAAAGACAACAACCTAGCTTAGACCATGACAGATGCTACATGAGTAGCCAGGTGGGTATTCCCAAAAAATACATATTTGGTCTTCATGCATGTTTTTTAAAAACTACAGTGCACAGCATTCTCAAGCCTTAAAAATAGGAATAGAAACTCATACACCTGGCTCTGTTTTATTTAGGCATAGTATGTTTTCAGAACACCTAATTCCTATTGCTGTATTAGATTAAAATTCTTTTTTGTGTTGATGTGAACTACTCTTCTCCCAAATATTAACTAAAGCCTAATAAAGGTCTGGAAAACATAATTTTGCCTTGAGTCAAAGCATTCAAATTTATAACTAGGAATCATATATATGTCATAGAAAACTGAAGCAGACATTTATTTTTATTTCTCAACAAGTAGTAAAACAGCGAATATAATTTTTTAAAATCTCCAAATGATAGGATATGGAAACAAAAGTGCTTTACCAAGAAAATACAGATATATGTTTTCTCTTATTTCCATGTATAATGTTATAGAACATAATAGTAAATAACCTTATTTAAAACTTGCCAATATTTCTCATCCAGAGCGTACTCTTTTTTAACTGTTTTAAATTATTACTCATTTTATGATTACAGCATGCTTTTGTAATCTACTTTTTATGTGCAGTTAAAAAAGTAGCCTATCTCTTTTTAGACTTTTCTAAATAGTTGCCAATATGAATTAATCTTTGGAGAAGGGTGAGGATTTCTGAAATACCAAAATATTCATAAAACAGTTCAATAAAATGACTTTAACATAATTTTCCTAAATAGACATTTTAATAGGTTTAATACCCACATGCACTCACATTTACAGCTCTTGATTTATATTATGACAGTATTTAATTTTATTTTGAAATTTTGAGGGATATACTAAAAGCTTAACAAAAGTAGTGCTTATCAAACTAGCTTAATGAATATTTGAGCTTATTAATAACACGTCTTTAATAAATGGTTTCAGTCTACATATCAGTGCAAGCAAAATTCCTAACCACTTAAATTAAAAGTCATTTACCCTATTCAGAAGGTCAGAAAGGTTGCATACCAATCCTTTGGACCATTTACTTACTATCTTCTATTTTTCTCTCTGGAAGAGAATAATTCCCTATTATTAAGTAATATCACTAATCCACAAAAGAAGATATTGCCAAACGGCAATAATGGCCAGAGAAGATAACATTTTAATAATCACTTGAGAGTTTGGTATGACTTGGTAAAATGTTAATTTCATCTTCAAAACATCCAAAGTGAAATATAAAAAATATTCACATAATGTCTTATATTAGAGAATGAAAAGAAAAATTTTGTTTGCTAAGAATATTCTATGTCAAAAGAGGGAAGTGCTATATACATAAAGCAGAAAAGTTTCCTACTAATAGACATAATCAGGCTTAATAACATCACCCTACTTTTAACTCTTCGCAACTTTTATATACATCCCATATCTTTTATCTAATTTATCTGTTGTTTCCTCCATAGGGGGAATGGACGTATCATTTACATTGTGTAGGTGAAGAAATGGTGACCCAAATAAATTAACATGGTCAGATGTTATGGATAAAGCACTATAGAATCAAAATTCCAATTCCCTCAGTGACTCCAAATCCAGCAGCTTTCCCCACCAACTCACGTTGCCGACCTTTTGGTGCTGCAATACACAGAACAGTAGAGTATGCATGTGGCTTTAAAAAAAAAGTAAACCCAATAATCCTTATGGAAATGGTCATTTAATGGTCAGGCAAGAAGTAATAAAAAGATAAGAAGAAAATATTACTAAAACCAAAAAGAATAACATGAAATATATTTTACATGAAATTTACAGATATCATGACTTGAAGATTATGGTTCTTAGGTAATATGATAAACATTAAGAAAAACATAATAATTAACAACAGATAGTAGGATAACTCTGCAACTTTAATTTCTATGTACATTTTTAAGTAAAAGAATTTATCAACCTAAAAAAAGGATTTCTTAAGTTTTAAAACACTCAACAAATTAAAAAGATATAATTGGACAGCTACTTTAGTATCCTAAAAATGAGATAATAAATTTGTTTTTATAGTTGATTTACTGAGAAACAATCTGAATTTTTTTTTTTTAATAGAACTGCTATTTAGACCAGAGGTGGATGAGGCAGGGTGAAAGGATTTACCAGAGACAGAGTGGGGAACAGAATAAACCAGTTTACTGAAATACAACAAAGAGCTTCCTGGAACGGGATCAAACACAGATATTAGTGGTGGTAGTGTTGAGACTTAACCCCTAGTCCACCAGGGAAGCCCATGAATTAATTTTCAAAGTGTCCAATAGTAGAAACGAAAATAAAGATAAATAATGTTTTCAAAGGGAATTTTCAAATGGTCAAAATATGTGTCTCAGAGCCTCCGCAAACCACAGTACTTTACCTGAATACTACTCGTTTGACAGAAATATTTGATGACTTCCAACAGAGGGGCCAACATTGTAGCTTTGCCTTCGGAAATACCATCAATCCTTTTAACATTTTCAACCGTAGTGGGTCTAAGGAAGTCAAAAAGCCATTGGAACATTATTACTCCTGCACATGTTCCGCTGATACCCAGCTTCATACTGATGTTAATAAATACATGCTGCTTCAACAACCAAAATCAATATATAACACAGAATCCTGTTTTATAATCTCTTTCTTTACTTTTCATCATTTAAAATGTGTTGTTTTAGCGATATGAATAAAAACACACCTACCACCATCAGCACAACACACAGTACTAAGTAGGAAGCAGGTCAGTATCATAAAGAGGCTATTACCTAATGTTTTACTTCATCACTGATAGTATCATTAATCAGAAAACTATGAGGCTCTGTGGAGAAGTAAAAAGCTGAGTCTTATTCATTTACAAAATACTTACCTATAACAGTAAACCTAACTACTTTAGGTTTTAAGACACTATTTCTTATTTTGTCCATTACCTAAGAGATTGTTAATGTTCTTTTTGAAAATCTGCCAGTTGAATATCCTTTAAGTATCTTCTTGTAATATTAAAGTGTGGTTTTAAAATATTCATGTTGTTAATAAAATATTTATTTTAAGATATAAGCTCAGAGCCTCCCTGGTGGCAAAGGGGTTAAACTCTCATTGCTATTGCCAACTACTGAGTATGAGTTCAATCTCTGGCCAGGAAGCTAACCCATGTGGCTCAGCAGACCTCACCTATCTCTCCTGTTGCCCCCCCCCCCAGCAGTATATTTTGATCTTCCTATTCTGTTCCTCACTCTGTCTCTGGTGAGAGATCATACCCCACACCTCTGGCCTACATCCCAGCATTTGTATACATACATAAATAAAAATAAATCTTTAAAGAAAATTATATAAATTCAATGTAATAACATTAGAATATTCTGGACTAATGTAAAATCTTTCGTAGATAATTTATTGATAGAAATAATCTTTAAAAAGGAGACAAAAGAAAAATACAATTTCCAAATAACTACTCTTTAGAAAGAATTTCTTCTAAAATATTTATTAACCACACAAAAAGGTGAGGAACAAAAGTATTTTCATTCAGAGTTTAAAATCTAGAAGATTAAATAGAACCGTGGGTAAGTGCCATCTGAAAATTTCACTTGAAAGTATTTTATGAATTCCAGAGAGAATTATTTTGGTGATGAGAACATGGAAGACTTCATGGATAAAACAGTACTAAAGGTAAGTACTGAAGAATTTCCTAACAATAGTTTCAGTGAATCAAGGAAACTACAAAACAGAAGCAACACTATTAATTCAATATAAGGAAGTTAAAAAGGGGCCTTTAATCCATTTTAAACAATCTATGTAAGATAAATTATTCAAAATTCTGCAATAGTCTGAAAAATAGGTTTAAGTCAATAAATGAAAAGTCTTGAATGGTAACCTAAGGAAGTTAGGACAATGGGAACAAGAGCGAAGATGGCACAGGAAGACACACGAGGAAGGTCTAAATGAAAAAAAGTTTTTTCTAAAAACCACTTTAAAAGAGTAAAAATGGGAACTTATGTTAGAGGGATGAGAATAATGGTGGTTTTACACATGATTGGGAATAAAAACATAGAATTCAGAAAGACTTTGGTACCCATACAAAATATATGTGTGGAGGGCTGATGAATAACGAGCTAGATTTACATATACACAGGATTTGATTGCTGAAAATGACTGATTTTCATTCATGTAAATGTGAGGGACTAAATCTTCACAGACAAATCACTAGAACAGAATGCAGGCACCTCACAGATGTGACAGCTGAAGCCATACTCCTATTATCATTTAATCTATTTTGCAAATCTATTACATTAGAAGAAAACAAGTAAAAACATACATATAGAAAGTGATTACCTCATTTTTGCCATATCCACCAGTATCTTATTTGTTGCCAGAATAGCTGGAGGAACATCCATTTTATTGGCATGTTTCTGCCTAGCTTCTACCAATTTGCCATATAACATAGTCTGGGGGAAAAAAAAAAAAAAACAAAGACACAACTTTCTATATAAAAATATACTTAAAAAATCTATCCTGTTATTTTAGAGTTGTAGATGTCCATAGAATAAAATAACTCTAGCTCAGACTCTCAGCTAAAGAACAGTTTATAAAATAGTGACAATACAATTCTAAGCATGCATAGAATTGTAATTATTCTCTCATACACTACCTGAAAGTCTCACCTGAGTCTTCTCCTCTTGAGCAGAGATAACAGGTTCAGCAAACTTGTAATATTTTCCTGATGACTGCATCATGATACTAAAACATTGAAAATAAAATAATAGAAGTTTTTCTTTCTCTTAGTTCACTTCTCATTCTGTCCCCTAGCCCCTACCACAAGAATATCTTTCCAAGTCAATAGTAACATTTATCCCTTAAAACGTCAGTAAGGCACACGGGTGATTTGGTGATGGGAAACCCGCGGGGATTACAATCGAGATGGGAAAAAAGAAATGTGCAAAATGATGTAAAAATAAACTTTTGTAATAATTAAATATATATATCAATTTAAAAAAGTCAGTAAGGCAATTTTTGATAGTTTAGATTTTAAATAATTTGGATCAATTATATTCATCATAATGATAAACTTAAAACTATAATTAGGATTCATCACAAAATTGGTATAGTTAAAAACAGCAATTGTTACACCATCCTCTTAATCAAGTGCTATGAAAATTTTGAAAATAGTATTTCACCTATATATAGTGCAGGTAATGTTTTTTGTTTTTTTTTTTTAAATTTATTTATTTATTCATACAGAACTGGGGTACAGGCCAGAGATGCGGAGGGTGAGAGGATTCACCAGAGACAGAGTGGGGAGCAGAACAGGCAGATCGATGAAGTACACTGCTGAGGGGAGCAGCGGGCGGGTCAGGAGAGGTCTGCCGCGCCATGTGGTCACCTCCGGGGCAGGCGGGAATCGAACTCATGCGGAAGCGGCTTTAGATTCTCAGTGCAGTGCTTTAACCCGCTGCGCCACCAGGGAGGGCCGGTAATGTTTTTTTTAACCAAGAGCGATATAACTACAATTCTTGCTGTGATATTATTAATTCTTGGTTCATGAGGAACATTAGCATGGCATTAACCAAATTATTTAGAATTTTCTTCAAAATGAAACAAGAATAAGCCTAGGAGCAATTTTGCTTTTGACGCCTCAAAAAAAAAAGGAATTAAAAATAGCAAAATTAGGCCCTGGTGGCGCAAGGGGTTATAAAGTGCATCACTATAAAGCAATTCATAGCCACTGCAGCACAAGTTCAATTCCCAGCCAGGGAGGTGACCCACATGGTGCAGCAAACCTTTCCTGTCTCACCCACCTTTCTCCTGTCTGCACCCACTGCTCCCTCAGCAGTGTATTTCAGTCAAACCTTTTCTGTTCCCCACTGTGTCTCTGGTGAATCTTCTCAACCCCCACATCTCCAGCCTGTACTCCAGTTCTTGTATACATAAATAGATACTTAAGTAAATATATCAATTATCAAACAACGTTGTATGAAAGGTATAGGGCATAAATTAGATTAAAAATCTAATTTCTATAAGAGGCGTTTCCTATTGATAAATTAATTACAAATAGGAAAAGTTATAAAAATTAAGTTTTATAAAACAGCATATGTAAAAGATGCCAAGTAAAAATAAATTTCTGTTTTTTGCAGAAGAACAAATCTGAAATATAAGAAATACTTATAAATCTCTCTGCTGCAAGAATTCAAAATCTATATAGCATGATATATGATTTCACTTTCACAATTACCAAGTCCTATCAATAAAATAGATATGAAACAGAAAGAAGGTAATTCAGTTCAAAGAATTAGTAAAACTCAAGAAACTTATGAATTTACTTTAAATTATGTAATTATATTCATTCTTATTTTAGTATTTATGGGAATCTTTATAACAATTTAATACATGCAAAATAATAATTTTAATTTTCACAAAGAAAATATTATTATCTATACTGGCAAAAATCTGGACATTATGCCTTTGAAGTAGAAATATATTTGGAAAGCACTTAATAAAAAATTATTCTGTCTGTAAATGCTATTATCAATATACAGATGAAAAGTCTGATTATTACTTAAAGAGGTATGCAGAGATACTGTATGTATCCATAAAGCAAGGAAAGATTGCTTTATATTATTAAAGAAACAAAAAGAATAAAAAAGAGGTATTAGGAATTAAAAATTTGATAATACAAATTAAAATTTCACTACATCAGAGGGAAAATAAAGTCAAGGAACTTTCCTAATGAATAAATAAGACAAGCTTGAAAATGGGAGTAAAGCAAAGTTAGCAATAAGAACACTAAAAACAAAGAAAACAAAAAAATAGGACAAAAAAATTACTATAGGGACACTAAAAAGAAAACCAAAAATACAATTATTAACATCAAGGGCAGTTAAGGTAGTAGTGGCTATAACATCACAGTATGGCTTAGTAGTGTGATATTAAAGTATATGGTATTATCTGTTTTTACATTACATTATCTACTAACATGAACAAAACTTGAAATATTTATGTCAGCATATGCTGAAGGAAAGGAAGTAACAGACAGAGATATGGGAAATAAACTTTAAACAACCATGACAAGACAAAAGCAGAAAATTTCTAAAATTATTAAGTAAAAAAACAGTAATTTAAGGATGTTACTTAGAGATATGGAGACAGATACCAGAGAAACCAGTTGGAAAATTTGAGGGTAACTGCTTTTATAAGACAGAGCACAGTGGATTTGTGAAGGAGGTGAAGTGATGTGTTCAATTCAAAGCCTTTGAACACTGACTTCAAGCTATGTATGCACGTTATTTTAATAAAAATGCAAGTGATTTTTTAAACAGCTATCCACATGCAAGCCTCTCTCCCATTCTAAGCCCACATATGAAAATTAATTTCTGGTTGAATCCACAGTTATCTCAAACTCTCTCGCAATTTTCACCTTTATCCCCTAACCTCCAACCTTTGAAACCTTTCTTCCTTATAGATTGCCCAGGGAAGGGAATGGCAACATTCACTCCCACCAATCAAAGACAGAATCCTAAACATCATTTTCAAGTCCAATTTTCTTAACCCACCTATTTTTTTCAATCACCAAGACTTAAAAATTCCATCTCTTAAGTAAAGAATTCATTATAAATCTATTTCTCTCCAAACCCACTGCCATTTCCCTCATCTAACTACCATTATTTCTCAAAAGTTCACTGCAATAGCTTCCATATTTGTGTCTCTATAACAGACTTTCCTGCTGTCCAATCCACCCCTCCAAGTGAGAGCCATCAATCAGTAAGCACAGGATAGCATGGGTCTGTTTTGGTGGAGCTTATAAGCTAAGAATGTTGTTTTATATTTTTAAATGGTTAAAAAAAATTTAAAAAATATTTCATAGCTTATGAAAATTTTATGAAATTCAAATTTCAGAGTCTGCAAATGTCACAAATAAAATTTTAACAATAAAATTATGTTTAAATGAAGAAATATTTTAGCTTACTGAATGCATATATTGCTTTAAATACTCCTTAAACTTTCCCATATTTCCCATATCTGTCTGGTGGAGCACAGCACTATGAAGCTACCATAGTCACTGTAGCATGAGTTCAATGCCCAGCCAGGGAGTGACTCCCCATATGGTGTGGCAGACCTCTCCTGACCCACCTGCTGCTCCCTTCAGCAGTGTATTTCAGTACATTTCCCTGTTATGCTCCCCACTCTGTTTCTGGTGAATCCTCTCACACCCAGCACTTTTGGCCTGTTCTGTATACATAAATAAATAAATCTTTAAAAATAAATAATTATTCATAAACCTGTGTTTACATAAAAAACAGTAATGACATATCACAGAGCCAAGCAAAAAGAGATTATCTGGTGTAGGAGACTGATTACTATGGTAAACATTTCTGTTAGGTCCACAGTTATTTCCCTAAATGAGGAAACCATTAAAAAAAAAAATGAGTAACAGCTTTACAGCACATTAATTTATTTCACTGGATTTATTTGTAAACATGGTCTATTTAATTTGTGTATCGACACTAAGTTTTTCAAATTCTCCATCTTCAGATCTTCTGTAATTCTGTACATTAATCACACCTTTATTAAGTCACTTGCAAGTCATTTAAGCTTAAGCACAATATGTGCACTCATGACTTTTAGTCTTTACAAACTGTACCATTTTACATTCCCATAGTCTTATTTTTACAAATGAAGTGAGGCCATATATTTAATATACACATAATTAAATGTTTAGATGCTAAGGTCAACAAATAACATGACAACCAGGTCTATTAGATATATGCTCTTAACAAGTTAACTTTTAACACTTCATATGTGTTAAGATGGGTGTGAATATTTTTGTTGCACTGTTTTGTTTTTCTTTTTTTAACTATTATTTTTTTTCCCTCCAATCCTAAAAGAAATAATCAGAGAGCTATAAATCAGAGACATTCTGCAGGGGAGGGGAGAGAGTGAGGGTACAAAACACAAGTGGGAAAAGCACGAAGTACTAAGGTGAATTGGTGGTGGAAATTCTATGGGGACTACACCTGACATAAAATATAAACAAATAAAGAAATTAAATATAAAAAAAATAATAATAAAAAAGATGGGTGTGAATAATGGTAACTAGCTCATAGCTTGTTGTAGAATTAAACCAGATGTTATTACACATAAAATGCTTAACATTTAACACAGACCTGGCAAACAATAATACCCAAAATTGTTAGCTAATAAAGTAGTTATTAAACAATTATTTTGTAGGACTTTTAATAATTTAATATTGAAGGCTCAGGTTTTAACTTAACCTTCCTCCTGTAAATGAACTAGCCCACCAGCTGACAGACTTTTCTTTTTAGGGAAGAAAGAAAAAAAGAAGTGATGATAAAGTAAGTATAGACAATGGAAAATTTGAGTGAATTCTGTACCTTTTTTCTGAACTGTTGCTTCCAGAAGAAAGTTTATCAAATGTATTGTAAGAATACATCTTCTCCAAGTTTGGCTGCTTTTAAACATACAAAGATCCATTTCAAAAAGTTAGGTGTTTAAAAAAAATTTAGCAACGAAGAAAATAAGATACAAATTTTCACAGTAACAATTTTTCTCTGACTAATCAAATCATCAAATATATCAACTGAAAATAAGATTTTGTATCAACCTCTAGGATATAAAGATCATTAGAAATGCAACCAATGTCCTTTTCTCCCTAATCTATAGAGAATACGTAATAGGAAAAAAGCTTTGAGACACAGTGAAAATCAAAGTTACAAAAGTGACTCAATTAAACACTGCATCCTTTTATAAAGCAAAAAAAAGTTCACCAGAAAATTTAATTTGTATTACCCTTTAGCTGCTGACTGTATAACTATTTAATCTGTAAAAGTTTTTAAAGATCCAAGCACAATGCAAGAAAAATATGGTGTGCATGCATATGAACTTTAATGAGAACAGTTAAGAATCAAGCTTATTTTAACTAGAAAGATCAAAATATAAAAACTCTAAGTCAAATATTTATAAACATAGGCTTAAAGGAATCAAGATGAGTTACTTTCTCAAATATTCTTAACTAGACTATTAATCTCACAAATCAATTATTGCATGTTTTATTATGGTCATATCACATCTCTTTCCCAATTTTATTTGGTATATATATATATATCACTCACCTCTTTTATTGGAGGGAAATGAAAATATAAGACTTTAAGAGTAATTGTATCAATAAAGAATGAAATAAAAGCTATTGATACTCTTTAATGAAAACATACCTTATCCTTTGAAGTTAATTTAATTGGTACTTGAATAGAGGAATGTTGAATTCCTGGAGAAACAGTTTTAGAACTGAAAAATAATGAAATTAAGTTATAGAGGAATGTTGAATTCCTGGAGAAACAGTT